AGGTAGGGTAACCAATTCCCTTTCTTCACATGGAAAGCTTTGACTTTCACTTTTACGAGCTACATGAACTGCCTGGCCAGAAGTCATTCCCACTTTCAAGAGATCTAAAGAGAAAAACAACAGTAAACCCATATGAGATAATTTGGATTGTTTCTATTTCAGACAGCATTCCATTATAAGGAACATAGATCCAAATTTGAAAACAAAAAACAGGCTTTTGAAACTCTTATGCATCCTTTTGACATTCAATATAATTGCCTGCTGTGTACTGTACCTATGGTTATGTTTGTATCCCAACTCATGCATACACAATTCTAAATAATGCATTTAGTTTTGACCTTTCCATCTTTTTATAGTAAAACACCTACTTTCTATAAGTAATTCCATCTTGGTAGTATTTTTTTTAAAAGTACTATGCCACTGGTTAGCCATTATGGAGCGAACACCAGCAAGACTCAAAAGAACAGCTGTTTCAAGCGGTCTTTCCAATGACAAATGCAAAGCACTGAAAGAGAAAAAAAAAGTATTAAAATTAAAAGTAAAAGTTTACTACTGGTACTTTTACAAATACATTTATAAACTTTCCAAGAAAGCACACTTCAACAGTAATATAAAAGTGTTTCTAGCTTGTAAAACATTTCTCGCCCTGTTTGGAAGGAATATTAAAGGAAAAATACTACAGTTATGCTGACAAGAACAATTTACAAACACCAGATTTATATGATTTCAAATTCCTATTTGTCTCCGAAGTTTTATAAGTATATAAGAATGATGACAGCATATAATGATGGGTTGGTCAATATTTTGGGAAAGAAATCTGAGATAATTGCACTTATGCTAGGAAATTTACAAAGGAGAACCAAGGTCTTAACCATTTTACTTAGTTCAATATGAGTAATAAAGACGAAACTTTTCTCTATACACACTAAATATTTTTAATCAATCACAGTTAACATTGGTGTGAAAAAGGCAGTTATATTTTTACCTTTTTTCTATATCCAGTTTTGATTGTCTACGTACACTTAAGCTGTTCTGAACAAGATCAAAAATGATCACAAGCTGGCATTCTGGAAAAGAAAATTACAAAAGATACTGAACACAGAGTTAAAAAGTTAAAATAAACATTTTATCAGGGCAATAATCTCAAATGCTGATCATGTGAAACCTGGTTTAAAAGTGTAAAATATTAGATTAGAATTTAAAACTACTCATAAAATCGTTTTAACACATCTTAAAACATGTCTAATAAAAGGCTGAATGAACAGTTAAACTTGACTTGTCGTTAGTCTTCCCAGGATGTCCTACACTTCTCTTCATCTCTAGGTCTTTTTGTGCTCATACAAGTAGAATGAGATTGATATTTATCAGGTACTGCTACTTATATACTGATGACTATCATGGTTTCAATTTATTTTCCAGTGCTGTTTTAATAAGCATATAAATACTGTCTTAGTCTGTGATATACTGTACTATGAATATACTATTAGCCTCGATAGTTTCTCTTCCTCATTTTTATAACCTATCACTGCTCACTGTCTAGCTCGCTTCATTTTACTGAAGGTTGGAATTGTAATTTCCTGTTTGACTGCTAAGATTGCAGACAATGTATTCAAATTGATGTAGGAATCTTTGAATCTTAAGTGTTAAAATACAAATACTTTTGAAAATACAATAAGTCAAAAAGAACATCGAGGCCATCTATAAGAAGGGTCAGAGCCGACTTTACTTCTTGAGGAGGCTCAGGTTTTTCAATGTATGTAGTAAGATCCTACATATGTTCTATCAGTTGGTGGTAGCAAGCACCATTTTCTACGCAGTGGTATGGTGGGGCCCTGGGATTAGAGCAGTGGATTCTAAATGGCTGAGCAATCTGTCATTGGGTCTGACCTGGACCCCTTGGAATTAGTGGCTAAGAGGAGAATGGTGTCCAAACTAGAGGCCATCATGGACAACATCTCCCATCCCCTCTATGACAGGATTGTAGAAATGAAGAGCACGCTCAGCAATAGACTGATTCATCCACGGTGCGACAGGGAGCACTACAGGAGGTCATTCTTGCCTTCTGCCATAAGACTGTACAACGCATCCACCTTACGTCTGGGCAGAGGCAACATTGACAGTGACCGGTTTCTGAACTGAACGCATCTACACATCTACTGCTACATCTGTTCTCTTTCTTTGCTTTTCCCGTTTACAACCATTTTTTGTGTGTGCAATATATGCCAGGGACCCATGCGATACATTTATATTTATATCTATATATTTACATCTATATTTATATTCATATGTGTGATACGATTTTTTCTGCGTACTGTTCTGTTCTAGTTTGTTCTTAGTGTGTCCGGACTGTGAGTAACTCTTTTAGTGCACCCCTCACTGTACTGATTATATTGTATGTATTGTACTATTATTATTATTATTGTATCATTCATTACACTGTGGCTGTGTTGTCTATGTAAAGCTGCTGTTGCACTGCAATTTCCCTCATGGGATCAATAAAGTATCTATCTATCAAAGTTTGCCTTACAACAAACATCAGTTGCAATTGTTTTTGAACAGACAACTTCATAACTAGTTTATATGTTAAAACTAGTAACCACTATAGTATTTATATCTCTAATAAACTCTGGAAGAAAACAGTGTGAAAGTCAATCACACTTTCTCTTCCAGACATGTGACAGTTGTTATTGTTCACTGTAAAGTGAAATTCTAGAAAATTAGAAAAAACAATACTGACTAGCATATTAGAGTCTAAGTTCTCAACTAGATGGTGACATTGGTTAGATACCCTTTCACTCAATGGCCATCTTCATGTAGAATTATTTTTAGCGAAGGAGAAATGAAAGGAATGATGTGGTAGAAAATAAGAGTGTGGTGTGAGGAATTTGCATTTGGAACAAATTGATATACTGTAATGTTACTGTAACAGAGAGAAGAAATCAAACCAAGACTGAACAACTGTTGCTTAATCACAAAATACACTGAAGCCTTCAGATGTCTCTTTGCACTTTCTTGCAATTGAACAATGGGTGATCTCTTTTGGCTCTCAAACATGCAGCTCTCCTCAGTTCAGTATAAAAATAAAGTTTATACAAATATATAAAAAACGTTTATAACCCTTAAGGTATCTAAAATTCTTCTGTCCACCAGATGAATAAGTGGGGACCAGCTCTGCTGACATTAACCCTGCGATAGACTAGTTTCCCCTCCAGGAGGGAGCCATGTACTCTCAAGTCCACTTAATTTTACAAAACCAGGATAGACTCTAGCCTGATGAGCCTCTAGGCTTGATTATGTACTTTTCTTTGCTATTTATTGGTCAGACTATACTTACACACCTGAAGAGCCAGTATCCATTTATTGCAAAATTATTCGGAAAGTTGTTTATTCTTTAAAGCTGTTTAAAGAGTATGCTTTTTCCTACAAATTGGATTACATAAACCAAATAATATATTTGGGTTCAGGCTGCTTCTAAGTTATATAAAATAATACAGCTGTTTCAAATTCAAAATAGCTCGTTTAAATTTTCTAATGGGATTATTTTTAACCTTTAACCTTTTAAGAAAAAAAATATGTTATAGTATTCCAACATTAAGGCACACATTTTATGGTGCATTTATTTACTTATGGTGAAATCTTTGGATAACAGTTGAAAAGCAAAACAGCGCACCCTAAAAATGCATAACATTATTAAGAGTATAACTATACCTTGAAAATTCATGGCAACAAGTTTAGAAGGTATGATGTTCGCTAGAAATCGTTCGGCCCCATAGAAAATGAATGCACTGCAGTTATTCATCAGTTCTTCAAGTTCAGCATGACTGAAACAACAAGAGAAATGATTTACTTTTAGAAAGCTACTTATTTTAGAAAGATACTTAAATTCTATTACTGATCAGTGCTGTGAAAACTATGGTAGCCACATAAATCATTAAAAATGCCAAGAATTTATTGGAAGAATAGTATTTTTGTATGTTTCTTTTATTGTGGAAAGAGGTGTGTAAATCATGCTTGACTCTTCCACTTTACGTTTTGAAATTGAACTCAATAAAGACCATCAAATTGACACCATGTAAGGTGGTAAGGGGAAAATACCAGATGCTTAGTCCATAATTTTTATATATATATATAATGCATTACTCCTTATTATGCAAAGATAAAAAACTATTTGAAAAGGATGTTGAATGTTCAAATAATGGCTTATTTTAAGGGTAAAATTAGTCAATAAAAACTGAAGAGTGATTAATCATAAAAAACAATATGCAGTATTTATGAGGAAGGTAACCAAGTTACCATGAGGCATGCCACTTTCAAATTTGGGCATTTTAATGCAAGGAAGTGTCTTAAAGCCCAAATGGGATCAATTAAACACAAACTCTAGAAATCACATGGAGAAATATATTATTTAAAATAATACTTCAATTTTGAACTTCAAAATGATTCTGATTAAATTAAAGAACAGGCAGGTATGTAACATTTTTGGTTACATAGCCTGCAATCATTGACACTGACCTTGGAGTATGTCCACTGCCCATAATTCCTTCCCAATGAGGAGTGAACTGCTGGCTGTATACTTCTACAATTCTTCTCAACTTATCCACTGGATTGTCTGATCCTAGGTATTAATAACACATGGACAAATCTGGTTTTATACGTAAGGTATCCCTTTAAGGAAGGCTAGGTAAGGTATTCTCAAGACTTCACAGAAAAAAAAAATATCCCAAGGCAGCATAAGGTCCTGACATATTGGCATAGATGCCCCAGCAAATACTAGTTTTTAGGGATACTTCAGAAACTTGTGTTAGCAGTTATAACTGGATACGCCATAGTAATGACACTCAGCCCATTTAATTACTTATTATATCTTGCTGTCAATCTCAAATTACGAAAAAATTATCTTGCTACACCAACGTGTAAAAGTCTTAGCTATTTTTCACTCAATTTTCTTACTTCCTTATGAACAAACACATTTATGGCTCTTCTACTTCTACTGACATTTTAATGTTAAGATAATAGTTAGACCTGATAGTTCTGTTGTTCAGGTGGGTAGCTGTGTCAGCATGCATAGACTGCAAAGGAACAAGTAGTAGGTTTATTTCATGCTGTAATGTTTCGGCTGTAATGTTTATTCCAACATAACGTTTCGGCTGTGAAGCCTTCTTCGGGTGTGATCAGGCTCCACAGCCGAAACTTTGTGTTTTCTTTCTTCTCTTTTCAGCATGGAATAAACCTATTACTTGTTCCTCTGCTCTAAGATGTCTTATACTTTTGCAGTGCAGTGTACATCCAAGAAAATATTTAAAACAAAGCCATGACAGACACAGCACAGCTATTTTGCATACGTTTCAGCAAATGGGACATAAATCATGAAGCAATTTTTGCTAGAATTTCTTATATACATCAATTGATGCTCACCTTAGTCAACAGTTACAGAAATAAAGTATATTCCTTTAAAGAGCTTTATTCACATTCTTTCATTTTGCACTTAAGCAAAACTATTATATAAAATTCCATATATATACACAGTACACAATAAAGAACATCAAACAAACAGCAATACCAACTCTTTTTAAAGACAGTAACAATTATTCTATTGATATAGGCATGCATAGTACATCTCCCACAGTATCACTTTAAAGCTCCATCCTCCAAAGAACTGGGTGATGTTAATTTTGCTTAGGCCAATAAAAAGCTGATTTTGGTCAGTATGAGCACAGCTGGACCGAAAACTGAAAAGCCTTCGAGGACCAGTACTGGTTTTCTTTTTCCTGGGATGAAATATCCTTGAACTCCACAGGAAAAAAAAAACTGCAAATTATATCCATAAATTATATCTAGTTTTAGTAATTGGAGTTTATTATAAGAGCCTCATACTTCAAATCCATTTAACACATTAACAACAATATTGCAAGACATGTAAACAGCATTATTGACAAGAAGAGCACATTGACAAGATGTAAAATAAACAATGATTTTTTAATCAATGTAGATCTTTCTGTGATATTTACTGTATATCAATAAAGCTAACATTACAACTAAATAATGTGAACTATTTATATATTTCAATTTCAATTCATATTTCAAACTCAGTTAGAATACTTAGGAGAGCAGGGTTCATTCTAATAAAGGACATCTGCCTTGGTGACTAATGAGAGAGCCAATTCAATTGTAGCCATCATGCTAACAACACAATGTGTCATTTTTGCGCAAATATAACTGTTTCTACCCTAGCAAAGGATAGCTGGTACTTAATGTGGTTTACTTACATATGTATGGTCCTTCTACCTTTGCTAGGGTAGAAACAGTTATATTTGCGCAAAAATGCATTTAAAACACAAACCATCAATAGGATTTCTTGGATAAACTTGAAGCCTTTATAATAACAAGTGCACACATGGTATAGATTCATATATATGGCACACATTTTCTCAGTCAGTAATCACTTACCTGTTTCTCTAGCATCATTATAAGGGTCAACAATATCTAAAATATATTGTTAAGGCAAGATAAAGTAATATAAAATTATTATGTTTAAAACTTAGGGTCTGTTACAAAATGACAGACATTTTCATTTTATGATACAGCGATTAACCTAAAAAGAAAAATACAGCCTGTTCACCACAAAAAGTACAGTTCCACAAATGGTCAGTTCAACCAAACCAGCTAGTAATGCATGATACCAGTGGTAAGTCATCCAATTGGTTGGTTCAATACCCATATCTCAATCTGACAAGAGATCTAATATTTTAAGGATACAAGGTGCTTATGAAGTACAAAATAAAAATAACATTTCAATTGAGAAAAACACTTTATAAAATTGCAGGTTAGTTTCTACATTCTAGTGAGTTGAATTAATAACATCTTTCTTCTATAATATTGATTTGAATCAGATTATTATTTGGCAAAGTATTCGGATTACTTATGAACAGTATTACAAACTCAACAGTGAATCCTGCATAACAATTATGAGAAAGTATCTGTTAGTGTAATTGCAGATGGAAGGGGATGTTATCTGCAATAAAATAATAATCCCTTCGTTGACTGGCAAAATGTTACTTAATTATTTCAATTTCTAGATTAATGGTTTTTGTGCATTCTGTAAATTGGGGAATAAAAGGATACATTTGAAGTTGTGAGTGTTTACTGGGATACAGCTTGGTGGCAAAGCACGATTAACAGGCACCTAGTTTAAAAGAAGATTGAACAGGCATCAATGGAAATACATAATTCTGATCCTAATTTGAGATCAATAAACATTGTGACATTTATGAACAAACTGTATTAAAAAGTTATTTTGTTTGCAGAAAACTATTGAGTTTCTATCTCACACTAACAGATTTATTAGCTCAACTTACCACTTTGATGGATTTGCTTTGATCTCCTTTTCCTTTTGCCCCTTTTGTACCTTTGGTCTCCTTTTTGTTGTCACCTTCAACTACAACATATATACAAATTCAAATGGTATGAATATATATCAATGGCACAGTGTCATATAGTAAACCGTATGTAAATGACACCACAGAAGGTGAAGTAAACATTTTAATAAACCATATTAACCTGAAATTTGCCATAACTACTGATATTCCAAAAAGAATTGTGCTAAGTTTAAAGTTTAAAATAATACAAACTCTTAACCCTGAACATTGTTATATACTTTATATCCAAAGATGTCTGTGTGATATACCCCAATATATACTGAAAGCATCTTATTTTTTCTAGATACTTTTGTCCCTATTGACTCCCAAAATTACTATAGAGATCAAGCCGAAGGTTATCTAATAATAATAAAAAATAGACTTAGTTTCAAAAGTTTGAATGAGATTCAGAGAAGGACAATAAGATGCAAAATCTGCTCTGCCGCAAACTGCTTTTTTTCTTTACATCATTATTTCTACTGTATAAACAGGGGACATCTTCCAGCATATTCTGTCACAATGAATATTTGTATGTGTCATGGGCATACTAGTGATACCAGTATGGGTTACACATAGCTGTTCAGCATTCTGTTCACCACCCAGAATCCCGAACAGCTATGTGTATGTGTTAACAATTGATTTACAAGCCAGTGTTTAGCTGGATTTTGGAAAAGAGAAGTTGGAAATTTTTTAAAAGATTGAGATACCATAATGAATGTTTGAGTCGGAACAACAAATAGGCGGACATTTGTGTAAAACATGACCAAATACAGAGTAGTTAGATATTGCAAGATTAATGGCCTTTTTAGAAGACCACCTTTGAGAGGACAAGTGAAGTTAACCTTGGACTATGGAAGACCTAGACACAAGGACTTGTAGTCTTTCTAAATAATAATGTGTGCAGTATTTTAGGTTTAGTTAGTAATGACTGTAAACAAACCTTGCATTTTAAGGCTTTATTATGCAGTCATTAAATTGTACCAGAAACAAAGAAATAATGTGGCCACACAATAATTCTTGATTGTGGGAAACATTTTATTAAATTGAATTATGTTTAATTCTTTAAAAAAAAATTGGTTTTAAATAAAACATGTATAATTATAAAAAAAACAAAGTATGGTGCAGGATAATAAATTGGCTTATTCTAATAACACTTGGGCTCTATGCCCTCTTCACAAAATGGTAAACCGCAGTTGTCAAAATTATGGTAATGAAGGTCTTAGGTGAAGAGAGTTAAGGTAACTTTTTCTACTATACTGAATTGTGAATCTTCACAAGAAACCAACCTGTCAAGTTCACTATTTAAATTTAACGTAATAAATTTCGAGATGAGTGCCAAACAATAATACAGTAGCTTTATAAGATACAAATTGCAGTTAATAGACTAGCGCCATATTCTAGGTCATTTTTGAACAACCTATTCAAAATAATCCTTATATGACTAACAGAAATGATATATTCTAATTTGTAATTTCATAAACTAGAAAGTTAATTATTTTGCTAAATTGCTAATGTTATTGCTTTTACTAAAAAAATACTTTTTCATTAGTTCACTAGCACATACCCATACATGTACTTATGCGTAGATTTAGAAGCCTTAGTTCATTAAGTATTCCAGGATTGTAACCTAACTACATTAAAAGATGGTTCTTGCCTATTGATAGATAGACAAAAATGTACAAGATGTGCAAGGAGTTCTCAGATTTAATTTTACATACTTTTATGCTGGCATAGTAACAAGAAGTGCATAAGAAAAGATGAACAGGTGGTGTTTTGGGATAACAGGTAAGGCTTATGTTTCAAAACCTTTTAATAGTCCATTTTGAAAATAAAATTGCACATATTACTACATATGCCTTCTACATACTGCACATCACATTATCATTAAAATGCTAAAGCACATAACTAGATGTCTAGTCTAAATTAAATTTAGACTTAAATTTATTTTTTGCTGTGAAAGTTATTATGCTACTTCAAAGATGAAAAGTCCTTTGTCCTGTTTAACATTGTAAATCCTTAGAGGAAGTTATTTACTTTGGCCAGCTTTCACAATTAAACAGACCGGAGTGTGAATTTCAAAAGGACATCCAAATTACATGCAGTAACAAGTTTCTAACAGCACTGCTGATATATTAAAAAAAATTAAGTACTTTTGTAATCTGAATTTTAAAGAGATTAGGGAGGATAAACCAAGAAAGGAATAGGACTCTGCTTATGATGCCATTATAAAATATCATTAGTATTCAAATTCAATTGTGGCACCTTGAACATTTGGTGAATGATATAAACAGATTACCAAGCATATGGCAGAAGCTTCCCAGATATATTTAAGCCTGCCTAAAGCAATGTTATTTCCACGGCTGAATGCAAAAACAGCAACAGTATGTGAAAATGTTGCCTTCGTTTTAAAAATACAAAATCGATCTATAAGTTAATTTAAATCTAAGATACACAATATTATTAATAAAAAAAAATAAACATGTTTAATTTGACCTATGTCTGTATTTAAAATTGGTTTAGGCTTCATATGGAATACCTCTATTCTCTGCAGGCATTGAATGCTCTGCATCTGTAGCTCCATGTAAGAAAAGCAGAAAAAGTTTAGACTACTTAATCTTACTAAAATATACAGCAGTATTTCTGACATAAAACACACAGCATACTGTCCACTGAAAAACACTGTATCCCTTGCAGACAAACTTACTTACTCTTGTGTAAGCAAGAATCCTCTTTTTAATTACAGCAAGCTAATCTGTGTCATTATACATAGGTATAGTCATTATATAAGTATATCACTGCTTTCCAGGGTTTCCCTGACCAATTAAATTATGTTTTGTTAATGTTAATTTAGGACTATTATATTCCATGTACTTTCTTGTCACTGAGAGTCACAATAATATCAAAGGTAAATGTAAATTGCATATATTTCTTAAATAGTAAACACAAAGCTGTTGATATTATCTAAACATTAAGATGAAAGTTAAGTTAATTTATTTCTAATATTATTTCAGGTAACGTAACAGGAGATTACAATGGAGGCCTTAACTCTTCACACTGCACGTATAAACAAAATTACGTATACTATTGTTACGTCCCCAAGTGTCTAGGGGAAAAGGGGTGTAACATTTAGGATAATTCTTTTGGAAGCAGGG